AAGACAACGCCGCGGCCACGGTGTCCCTACAGACCGCTGTGACTAGTGCAGTCACCTCGCCTGCGCAAGTTGCCTCAACGTCCTTGGCGGGCGTCCCTCTGGTGACGTCGGCGTCCACAGGTTGCACTGGGGCTGTCCAGAGGGAGAGCTCTCCCTCTCCCTGCGCACCGCCTATGGTAGTGCACCCCAGGGCTTCGCCCAGCGATCGGAAGGGGAAAGGCAGAGCGGAGGATGAGCGTGATGACGAGTCTGACACTACGCTGGTGTGATGCGTACTTCGTCTGCGTACATCGTCCTCCCCTTGTTAGCATCATTCCCCCAGACTTGGGGGATCTGGATCGTTGACACCTTCATATGCTCATCCCAGCGCGTGCGTTTGCTACATACATCCATGTAATTGTTATAGTCTGTACATATACGTTACATATATTGATGTTGCCCTCATCACGTCCACTCCTTTTGTATCTCCTGATCGCTCATGTGGAACCCCATACCCTCTAATGATGTTCCTTTCAGTAGTGCTTTCACTCCATTCGTGACGTCGCCCTGATACTATACGTTCTTGTCCTTGGTGCGATAATCTTCCAATGACATAGTTACATTGAACTTTGAACCAGGCTCCTGGACTGTGATACCCACCTATGGACCTCTTCACCCAACCTTCATCCCAGCTTTCTAGGCTTGTGGATGTTTCAAATTTGCGTACTTTTATAACTTTCCTAATCGTGTGGCTGACGTATATCATGCCTTCATTCCAGTGTGTGAACGTCCAGAACCATGAAGACGGTTCCACCGCCCCAGGAGAAAAGGATGGCGACATGGTGTGTGGGGAGTGAAGGAGAGGGTCTCCTGGGCAGGGAGCCTGAGTCAGAACAATGAGCACTGGGGATAGTGATCACGCGTCACAAGGAGGCGCATCCCAAAGCGGGAAGGGGGGGGGCGTCGCCTCCTGCTTTCCTCCACCGCCCTGTCGTGGCACGTCATCCCGCACCAATCTGCTATGCTTGCTCCTATGGGTTCCGCATCCTCCTCATCCTCGTCTGAACAACCTCCACCTACAGCACCCACAGTGTCCAACAAGAGCGACGTCCCTCCTGCCAAGGGATCTGTGGTGTGGAAGAAGTGGCCCTCCGCCCTCCGGGCTCTGATCGCGGTGCTTCCAGCATATCAAGCCCTCCTCAGAAGTGGCGATTACACTGGCAAAAGGGCATGGATGAGCAAGACCATACCGGAGATGATGGAGCGCGACTTCCCTGAGAGCATGATTCAGCAATTTGGCACCGACAAGCTCAGAGTTGTGAGTCTGGTGTGCCTCATCTGTCTCGCGCGCCGTGTTGATGATGACCACTAGGCCGTCGGAGCCTGGTTGAACAACAATAGGAACGCGGCAGCCCAGGATGTATCCAAGGCGTTGGATGGGAACGACTGCCCACAGAAGGCTGAAGATGGAGCCACGGCGAGCCCTAGCAGGAACACGGGAAGCAATGATACCGCACGCGCAGTCGTGGGGAAGATCGTCAATAACCCTTTGGCGAAGGCTTTGCGGCACGGAAGGTGTCCCCCATGCGACTGTGGGGTAGCGAGAACAACGCCCGCGTGCAGGAGCGTATCAAAGCTATGGGCGGGAATAAGATAGGGGGATGGTCGAGGTGCGCGTCCTACATTTGGCACAACGAGCTGGAGGAGGCGGAGCGGTCCGAGTGGGTAAAAAAAGCGGAGGAGCTGAGCGTGCCTGACGATGAGCAATGTTACATGTGCGTTGGGCTGCCCATCTGCTGGTTGAGTGTACGCTAATCCCGGATTGCAGCAATCAGCTCAGCGTCACAAAGCTGCTTGTTAGCTTGCTGACTGACCTAATCGGCATAGGGCCCTCCAAAATAGGCAAGGCGTGCTTCGCGGTGCGCTTGGCTTACAGGGCCCCTGATGGGCAGCTCATCTATGAAGAGTAAGTGAGTCCATCTGGTGAGGAGATGTCCCTCCCATTGACAGGACGCAATTCAGTTTTCGTTGACCGAGGATGAGAAAGCGATCA